GCTCCACAGTCAACACTCTTGGCACCAGCAGCCAGGAAATTAAAAGACATATTGCAATGGGAAAGTATGCCTTTAGAGACCTCTCCAAAGTACTGAAGAGCAGTGGTGTCTCTCTGGAGACTAAGGTGTGTCTGATACAGGCCATGGTCTTTGCAGTCACTTGTTATGCCTCAGAGAGTTGGACAATGGCTAAGGAGGATAGAAGGAGAATTGATGTCTTTGAGCTGTGGTGCTGGAGAAGAATATTGATGGTACCATGAACTGCTAGGAAAACAAACAGATTCACCCTGGAAAGGGTTAAAATGGGCTGCTCCTTGGAGGCAAGGATTCTGGGGCTTCGTCTGACATGCTTTGAACATGTTGTAAGGAGTGACCTGTCCTTGGAGGGGGACATCATACTTGGGAGGGTGGAGTGACGGCACAGGAGGGGAAGAGGCTCTATGAGGTGGATTGATTCAATGACTGGGGCAATTGGGATGGGTGTCTCGGAGACAGTGCAATTGCACAGGACAGAGCAGAGTTTAGGGCTGTTGTACATAGGGTCGCTATGAGTCGCAAGCAACTCGGCAGCACATAACAAGAACAACAAGATATTTGTACTGATTAAACACCTTGCTTTGTTTTGTATTTATCTATCTATATTTTGAAATATACTAGTTAGCAAAGCCCTAATCAGATTATAATTTTGTATTTATGTTATTAAAAAGTCTTCACATTTGCTGAGACATTGTCTCAAACACAGCATGATTTCTGCTATAGCCCTTTGCTGCCCCAGTTTTGGACTTTGAACGTGTAGGGAAAGGTTGCAATAAGTATCACTTTTCAAGTTTCTCCTTTTATATTTTTCAGATAATCCAGGTGATAAACATATGACAGTAAAATTTGTACAAGACACATCCAAGTTCTGGTACAAGCCAGAGATTTCACGAGAACAAGGTGAGTGGGGAATGTAGCCTTCCTGAACTTTCTCTACCATGACCCCTGATTCCTTTTGAGGCAGGAAAATAAGCCTCATTTTGGACTCAATTAGAGCTCAATCTACACTTGATGACATACCTCCAGGAGGAAATGCCATGGTCTTTAAATTTTTATAGAAAGGACTAATGCTAATGAGGGCATTGAAGAGGGAGTGAGGCCCAGCATAAACTTCAGCTTGTGGTGTGTCATGTTTGGAAACTTCCACAGCCAGTAACTTGGCCACTGCTGCTGCCACAAAGCTTCTGACTGCCACACAGCTTCTGGTCGTGCAGAGGCACCAGCAGTGTGTGTGTGGCCTGGCATCCTGTCCACAAGGACAGGGCTAGAAAGGAAGAAGAGGCATCTCCCCTTAGATCTCCATCTACTGCATGAAATCAGTGACGTCACTGCATCTTTGTGAGTTCAAATACAGAGATTAGGTACATCATAATAATGAGATATAGGTAAATCACATTCTGATACATTCCAGCACATGCATGAACTTTGGCAATGCAAGATAATTGAACTAAACCAGACACAAAGGTCAAATGCATCAGGCTATTCTCACTTTCATGAAATACCTCTAACAAGCAATTGTGTGGTGACAAAAGAAGATTCACTCACTCAGTCACCCACCCAATGCCATTGAGTGAGGACTGCCTTCTACCTGACCCTCCAGGATACTTTCAAGGGCAGGGATCACACAGGAGGAGCTTGCTTATCTGTCTCTGCTGGAGTGCTGGGTAAATTTGAACCATCAGAGAGGCTTACTGTCTGGATTAGCAGCACAGTTTCCTATGAACTACACAAATACAGTTCCTACAAGAAGATTTGGCTCAACTCATTGCCATCAATTAGAAACAAACTAAAAGCTGACCCTCTGTTGTGTTTCCAAGGCTGTAAATCATGTGGGAGGAAAGTGCCCATCTTTCTTCTGAGGAGTGACTGGTAGATTCGAGCTGCCAGGGCGACTTAGCCTTTAAGTTTGGGGTGCAGTTCCTTATGGACTGTGTCACCATTGCTTTCTAGCATAAAGATGAAGGACTGGAAGTCATAATACCTGCCTGTAGAATTAAACTGATGCTTCAAAAGCACATTAGACAGATCATCTATGTTCTTATTTCAACTGAAAGACAGTTTTTAAAATTTGAAATTATTCGTGTCTTTGAGCAACATTTTACCAAAACATGGTTAGAAGAGGTGTCAAAAAGTGCAGCTTCTGTTCTCAGAGTGGCAAGCCCTTTTTGAATGTAGCATCTTGAATGACCAGCATTCATTTATCCAACAGAATTCCTCACTTCCCCAGGTCCTGCCACCCTAGGATTTTGCTGTCCCCCTAGAAATCATGGTAGTACTGGTGGCTGGCCTCTGTAGAACTCTCAAGGTGGAGTTCCTTGCTCTTGGGTTTATCACAAAGAAGACAGGGAACTAGGGCAGGACCATTTCAGGAAGGATGGGACCCGGTACTAGGAAATGACCCTGGTGCCAGAGCTTTCTGTGGGTGCTGGGTAGGAGACAAGGAGAAGATGACTAATGCATCCAAGACTGACCACGAGTCTAATAGCCATTTAACTACACCAAACTCCGTTAATATACTTCAGAAGAAAAAATGCTTATGCTATCTCCTTACTAGTGAGTCAGGGTGACTAAAGAGGAAATGATTGCTGATGTAAAACAGCACTGTCAAATTTACTCATTGGTAGTTTTCTATTCAAGTTAATAGATAATAGAAGTTTTAAGAATGTTCATTTCTTTCCATGAACTCAGTGAAACAGTTGTCACTTTAGATGGGCGGGGATGACAGAAAAAGTACCCTGGAAAGCCTTTTATTATCCTGAATTGGTCTTTTGTGAAAATGCAAGTCTCCATGTTTTGTAGGCTCTTGCAGGCCGGGAGCTTCTGTAATGCTGCTGCCACTCAATCCCTGCCCTTGTCACAGAAGACCTGTGTTGGGCATGAGTTAGAAGCCTTCAGTTCTTTGCCCAGCAGGACAGACCATGAGTGATTCTCTTCAAAGAGTCTGTGCTGGGCAGACTTTCCCCCTCATCTGGTTAATTGGCTGCTGTGATTTTTATAGAAGGAAAGCTGTTGTTGCCAAAAGCTGCCAGTGAAATGCATGCCTGTTAGTTGCAGTGCACTATTTCACTTGTCTCAGAACAGAGGCAGTGATGGCTATGTGGTGAAGAATATTGTCATCATGTTTATGGTTGGCACATATTGTTGTTGTTGTCGTTATGTGCTGTCTAGTGGCCATAGTGACCAACTGTACAACAGCCATAACCCCTGATCTGTCCTGTGCCATTCTTATTGTCTCTGATATACCTACCCCCACTACCCCAGTCACTGAATCAGTCCATTTCATCGAGGGTCTTCCTCTGTTGGGCTGTCCCTCCAACCTCCTGAGCATAGTGTCCCTCTCCAAGGACTGATCCCACCTTGCAACATGTCCAAAGTATGTCAGACAGAGCTTTCGAATTCTTGCCTCCAAGGAGCACCCTGGCTTCAGTCTCTCCAGGATGAACTTGTTTGTTCTCCTAGTAGTTCATGGTATATTCGATACACTTCTCCAACACCACAGCTCAAAGGCATCAATTCTCCTTCTGTTATCCCTAGTCATTGACCAGCTTTCTGATGCATAGCAAGTAATTGCAAAGACCATGGCCTGTATCAACTACACCTTAGTCTCCAGACTGACATCTTGCTCTTCAGTACTTTGGAGGTCTCTGACAGCAGACTTTCCCTATGCAATTCATCTTTTATTTATTTCCTGGCTTCTGGTACCAAGAATGAGAACCAAGCAAACTGAAGTTGTGAACAATCTCAGTCTCTTCACCATCTATCATGATACTGCCAAGTGCCCCAATGGTGAGAATTTTTGCCTTCTTGATGTTGAGCTTCACTCCATATTGAAGGCTAATGAAAGATTGCTGTCACTCATTTTGTTTTAGCTATATGTTTGAAAAATATTTCTTTTGGTGAAGTCCATCTAAAAATGGCTAATGTACGTTGATGGTGGTTACGTGTGGCACTAGGTCAGAACCAACCCATAGCTAACCCTCCAGTGGGTTTTCAGAAGCAGTAAATTGTGTAGGAGGAGATTCCTCATCCTTCCTTTATGGAGCGAGCAGCTGTTAGCGTCAAATTGTGTGCCTTTGAGATTGAAGCACAGCTTCTTGTCACTTGCCATTGAGTTGGAACTAATCCACCCGGTAGTGACCCTATCACTGCTGTTGTTGTTTATTGCCTTCGTGTCAAACACAACTCATAGTGGCCCCATGAACAAGGCCTGAAAGCCCCTCTACAACTATCGAGATTTATCAAAGTCCATAGTTTTCAGAGGCATGTTATTTAGGAAGTGGATGCCACTCCTGCTTCCAGCTATTAGGGTTTTTGTTTTTTTTACACAGTGCAGAGAAGACATGTGTGCTGAGTAGAGAATAGTCCTTTGTCTCTTATCTATAACCGATGGCACCCCCTTAAACACTATGGGCCCCATAACGTGCCCGCACGCGCACGCATGCGCAAAAACACACCAGTGATGCTGTGGTCCAACAGAGGGATCAAACCTGTGGTCACTCATGTCTTTCTCTCCTCTCTCCCTTCTAGCTATTGCCATGTTGAAGGACAAGGAGCCTGGGTCGTTCATTGTGCGGGACAGCCACTCGTTCCGTGGTGCCTATGGCCTGGCCATGAAGGTGGCCAGTCCTCCACCTTCAGTCTTGCAGCTGAACAAGAAAGGTAGCTTGGGCATAGGTCGTTTCTGGGCACTGGGGCCCTCATCTCCTTGGAGTAGAGGTAATAGATTTATATGCTAATAAGTTTTTGCATAACTTAAAACAATTCTCAGAATTTCTTTTTAGTATTTGGGGTTTTAGCATAGGAAAACAAACAGATTCATCTTGGAAAGGGTTAAACCGGGTGACTCCTTGGAGGCAAGGATTCTGAGGCTTCGTCTAATGTACTTTGGAGATGTTGTAAGGAGGGACAGGTCCTTGGAGAGGGACATCATGCTTGGGAAGGTGGAGGGACAGCACAGGAGGGGAAGGCCCTCTATGAGGTGGATTGATTCAGTGACTGGGGTAATCAGGATAGGAGTGTCAGAGAAATTGCGATTGACACAGGACAGAGCAGAGTTTAGGGCTGTTGTACATAGGGTTGCTATGAGTCACAAGCGACTTGATGGCACATAACAACAACAACAACAACAACTATCCTGGCTTATTATGTTGTTGTGTACCATAGAGTCATAACTGACCCTCCTGCAGGTTTTTAGGGGAAGTTACTCGCACTAGAGGGGATTGCCCATCCTTCTCCATAGAGTGGCTCGTGACCTCGAACTGTGTGCCTTCGGGATTGCAGCACAGCATCTTGCCAGTAGGCCACCAGAGCAGTAGTGGCATCCACTTTCTAAACAACATGAGAAATGATAGTTATAGAAAGGCTTCAGGTCTTTTGTTCATAGGGTCACTATGAGTCGTGCTCAACTTGACAGCAATCAACATCTTTGCTTAAGAAAGTAAATTATGTTTAATTTGTTTTTAAAAATATTTTTAGTAGATAATGCATTCTATTATTAAAAAATGATGCTAGAATACAGAATCCCCTGAGAGATCTAGCTTCTATTTTTAGCTTTTTGACCTCCCTATTCCCTCAGCTTCTGATTGTTGTTGTTGTTATGTGCCATCGAGTCACTTGTGACTCATAGCGACCCTATGTACAGCAGCCCTAAACTCTGCTCTGTCCTGTGCCAATCGCACTGTCTCTGACACTCCCATCCCGATTATCCCAGTCACTGAATCAATCCACCTCATAGAGGGCCTTCCCCTCCTGCGCCGTCCCTCCACCTTCCCAAGCATGATGTCCTTCTCCAAGGACCTGTCTCTCCTCACAGCATGTCCAAAGTATCTTAGACGGAGCCTCAGAATCCTTGCCTCCAAGGAGCCACCCGGTTTAACCCTTTACAGGATGAATCTGTTTGTTTTCCTAGCAGTCCATGGTATTCTCAATACTCTTCTCCAGCACCACAGCTCAAAGGCATCAATTCTCCTTCTATCCTCCTTGGTCATTGTCCAACTCTCTGATGCATAACAAGGGATTGTGAAAACCATGGCCTGTATCAGATGCACCTTAGTCTCCAGAGAGACACCATTGTTCTTCAGTACTTTGGCGAGGTCCCTAACAGCAGACTTTCCCATGGCAATGCGCCTTTTAATTTCCTGGCTGCTGGTACCAAGACTGTTGACTGGTGGCGCCAAGCAAACCAAAGCTCTGTACAATCTCAATCTCTTCACCATCCATCCCGATGCTACCAATTGGTCCAGTGGTGACAATCTTTGTCTTCTTGACATTGAGCCTCAATCCATATTGTAGGCTGCAGTCCTTGACCCTCTGCAGCAAGTGCTTCAGGTCCTCTTCAGTTTCAGCAAGCGGGATTGTGTCATCTGCATAATGCAGATTGTTGATAAATCATCCACCAATCCTGACCCCACATTTCTCCTCATAGAGCCCAGCCTCCCGGATAATCTGTTCTACATATAGGTTGAAAAGGTATGGAGATAGGATGCATCCCTGGCATACGCCCTTCCCAATTTTGAACCATGCAGTGTTCCCTTGCTCTGTTCTGACTACTGCCTCCTGGTCCAAGTATAGGTTTCGCATTAGCACGATCAAGTGTTCTGGGATTCCCATTCTTCTCAGAGTCAGCCATAGTTTGTTATGATCCACACAGTCAAATGACTTTGCACAGCCAATGAAACACAGATAGACATTCCTCTGGTTTTCCCTGCTTTCAGCTAAGATCCATCTAACATCAGCTACAATATCCCTACTACCACGACCCCTTCTAAACCCAGCCTGGACTTCTGGCAGTTCTCTGCTGATGTGCTGTTCCAGTCGTTTTTTGGTTATTTTTCGGTAGATTTTTGTTTGCTTTTGAATTCAGTGAGATTGTTCTGTAGTTTCCACATTCTGTTGGGTCACCTTTCTTTGGGATAGAAACAAATATAGATCTCTTCCAGTCAGTTGGCCAAGTGGTTGTTCTCCAGATTTCTTGGCACAACTTGGTGAGCACATCCACGGCAGCATCTGTTAGCTGAAATATGTCAATTGGTATACCGTCTGTTCCTGGAGCCTTATTTTTTGCCATTTCCTTCATAGCAGCCTGAACTTCTTCTTTCATCATTATAGGCTCTTGCTTATATGTTGTTTCATGAAAGTCTTTTGTGTCTTCCAATTCCTTTCAATACAGTGACTCAGTATATTCTTTCCACCTTCTTTTAATACTTCCTGATAGGCAACCTTTTATGTATCTTTCCATTAATTCTTTGTCAATACAGTCAAACCTTCTCCTTTTCTTATGTAAAAAGCAGCATGTTACATCTAATATGTACTTATGTGTGGTAGTGTTTTTGTTTTGGTTTGGTTTTTTTAGACTGATAGAAAACAATGATAGTGTAGGCCCAGAGTCACTGTGTTAGAACCTTGTGAAGGTGACCAGACTAAACTAGCCAGCTGTCTTCTCAGCACATGGTAACTCTCAAAGTCATGGACTAGAATAAATTAGCTCCATAAGGTTTTTAGAGTACTTTCGTCTTGAATGTCTCTGGATAGGTTTGAACCATGAGCCTTCCATTGAGCTCTTTGCCATTTGTTTACCTAGAGACTCTGTAAAGTTTGGAATGAAACATGAGGATCCAACTTAAAGGGGGAAAAAAATCTTCGTTCATGCCAGAATCAATGCATTTATTCTCTGTCTCTATCCTCCAACACACACAAACCAGTTCAAATTACTTATCAATACCATTGCAAAAATAAGTGAAATACAAAGTTAAAATTTTAACATCAACAGCCAATAAAAGATAAATCCCTAAACATTATAGTTCAGTTTTTCCTGTTTTTAACTTTACCTGAGAAAATATGTTTGTACAGCTAACAATATTTGCACTGTATGTGTCTGATTCCCTTCACTGTTATTGCAGAATGACCTGCATCCCAGCATCACCCATGCAAGGATTCTGGACTAGCCATTCCCCAGCCAGCCTGCACTTTTTGGCTGTCCCCTTCCATGGTGTTGTCAGGCCACCTGCTGCAGCGGTCAGCTTCAGGGACAGGCGTCTTCCTACAACCCTTTGCACTGTTACTGCTCACTCTCTTACCCTCTCTCTCAACCCCTCATTGTCTTGTTTTGAAATGTTTTCTTCTTTCTTTATGTAATCTCATCACAGCTGGAGACCTGGCCAGTGAACTCGTCCGGCACTTTCTGATTGAGTGCACCCCGAAGGGCGTGCGGTTGAAAGGGTGCCCCAATGAGCCTTACTTTGGTGAGTAGTCACGGAGCCTGCTGTGACAGGCTTTCCCCACAGAAGTCACTGCTTGTTCCTGGGTCTCAGGTGCGTCTGAATCTTTGAAATAAAGTGAATATGAAGTTTTTCTGAAAACAGATACTTAGATGGCCTTACGCTTTCTCAGATGCATAGGGTGATAGAAAAACATGAGAGAGAAGAAGGAGAAGAACGGTAATGATTGCACATCAGGAACATGAGATAATAAAGATCACTGGGCTGTACAGGTAAAGAGTGCCGGATGTCAAACGCTGTCATGTTTGTTACTGGGGAAAAGAGAGGAGGAAAGAAAAAGGCAAAAAGCACTGTTGTAAGACCAGAAGTGCATATGCCAGGAGAGCATCTAGTCCTTCCTTACAGCCTGAGTGTGACCCTTTCATGCAGGTTGTAGGCTTCTGCAGCCACCTCGTGCGTGTAGTGAGTGAGAACTGACCCCTGACCAAGGCTCACTGGAAAGGTGGGCTCCCCCACATGTGTCAGTCCAAGACAGAACATTTTAAACTTCCATTTCCAGATTCAGCAGGTGGCTTATTTTTTATAATTTGGTAATAGTGTCTATATGTAAAAAGGTTTCTGTAGTTCCCTTTCCTTATGCCTCATCTGCTCTGCTGAAGGTGCCTTCTTATTAGCATTTCACCCAGAATATTTCTTTAGAGCATTAGTTGGTTGCCATTTGCTATGGCTGTGTCTCAGCTGATGACATGGCTGAACAGTGCTTCACTACTGTGATCTCATCTGGACTGCTTAGTAAAGGCAACAGTTAGGTGCCTCAATTGGGAGCTTTTGCCTCAAGTAGGGCAGGAGAATGGTGGTCTTTTTTCCTGCAACAGGAAACTGACTGAAGTGCTGTGGGTTAGTGATGACAGAGCTGGAGAAAGGCTCTCAAAGTGCTTTCCATGAGAGAACTTGAAAGGTCCCTGAAGTAGTTCACAGAGATTGTTCTAAACGTTTCATTTCCAAGGAGCCAGAAGACTCTTTTGGAACATGAGGCTTTTTCATTTCACCATAAAGTGTTCTGAGAGTGTGGTTATCTGCTGATAGCTTTTCCATTTTTTCTCCAGCTAAATGTGATTGTGGAAGCCCTACTTCACACATAGCCTCCTCCACCCATCTGCACAGAGGAAACCCTGGCTATGACATCAGAGGGACAGCTGCATTGAGATCTCTGGATACTGTCCTGTAGGGGTGTCTGGGATGTGAGTGAAGGGGGAGACAAAGATTGAGGGAGAGAGGTAGAGGGCAAATGGAGGGAATGATAACATATTTATAACTGCAGGAGGAAGCTATCATAGTTTAATTACTTATCCCATGAGATTGTCTATGGTACTATCCTTCCAGAAAAAAATGAGAGAGCATTGTAGTTAATGCTAAAAACTACATACTTAAAATGTCTTGTTTGTTCCTTTTATTATACCTTTCACATAGTATTATTACATGTATGTAAAGTATGGTTTTTAACAAAATGTGCTTCTATCTAACTCTTGTATTATCTTTGGGTGTTCTGAAAGCTGAAAAATCATCTTTTAAATCAGAAATTGTTTCATTAAAGTTTTTCTAGTAAAAGATATCTGTTCTTCCCCCAAATCCTTATATCCCTTCTCCTTAAAAAAAAAATAATAAAATAAATCCTAGTGTATCTATTCAATAGGACTATGATTTTGTTTGGTATTAGTAATTTAAAGTTTTGAAGGAGTGTTAGTAAATTGAAACTACCAGAGGAGGAGGTCCTTTGGGAAAACAGCATTCACAAAGGCCTATGACTCTATCTATGCATTTACACAAACTCATTAACATCAAGTCATAACCAACTCATAGCTGGATTTACAAAGCTCTAACTTATACAAGAGGTGATTTCTCATCTTTCTCCCTCAGGGGTGCTGTGGGATTTGAACCTCCAAAGAAATGCCACCTTTGGGTTAGCAGCACAACTTTCTATGGACTATTCCACCAGATCTCCCTAAGAATTATATATCAGATACCATTATCCCTCAAGTATGATGATTCTATATGGGCATTTCCAAATAAACAGAAAATATGGGAATTTGTGAAAACCAGATTAACCTTACTAGAAATGCAGAAGGGAATCAATCCTTTCTTTAGACAGAAAGCCAAAAAGTGCAGGCAACACTAGAGATTTTAGCATGAGAATATGACCAGGAAAGCAACACAGATATAAATCCCAAAACTAAACTCGCTGCTATCCTATCACTTCCCAGCTCATAGTAATCCTATAGAAAGGAAGAGAATTGTCCCACAGGATTCCCATGATGGTAAAGTTTTGCAAGAATAGACTGGCCTAATCTTTCTCCTATAAAGTGGCTAAAAGCCTGATAGAGACATGCCAAAAGTAAGGAGTTTGAGGTGTCAGTTTGTAAATGATGACAACTACAAAGCAAAAGAGGGGATGAATAATTACAGAACTTTCAGGTAGGAAGACAGATGGCCTGGTATCAAGACAGAATGGACTGTGTTTGACTTGTAAGATAGTGATACAAGGTAATCTCTTCTCACCTAAACAAGGAAAGGAGAAAATTAGAGTCTTTAGTGTTCGACAAACACTAAAACAATAGCAATGAAGGAAATGATAACAAAATAGTGTTCAACAAACAGTAAAACAATATAAATGAAGAAAACACATAACTAAAATATGCTTCAACTCAGTACAGTCAAGTCAGAGCTAACTCATCATAGCTGACCTTCCCAAGACTTTTTAGAGGCTGGATATTACATGGTTACATGGGAGTAGAGTGTCCCATCTTTCTCCTGAGGATGCTTGGTTAACTTGAACTGCCTACCTTTGTGTTGGCAGTGCAACTTCTTATCCACTGGGCCACCCAAGGTCCCCTGCAACAAAGATATAATCAGTATCACAAAAAGGAAGACATCAAATGACAGCAGTAAAATTGTAACTCTCAATTATTATACTGGATGTAAATGGATTAAATGTACCTGTCAAGAAATAGAGTAGCAAGATGAATCAAAGAGCAAAACCCATCAACATACTATCCGTAAGAAAAGGACCTTTGTTACAAAGAAAAAATGCTAAAAATCAAGGGATAGAAAAACATGTATCAAGCAAATGGTTCCCCTGGAAAGAGCAGGAGTGAGTATATTAATTTCCAGTGGAACAGACTGTGAAGCAAAAACCAGCAGAAGAGAAAAGGAAATACATTATATAATTACCACAATTCAGCCAGGGAACAAAGTCTACATACCTATGCACCTAATGAAAAAGCCCCCAGGAAACAGAAATCAGACTGAACTGAACTGAATGGAGAAATAGACAACTCCCCAGTAGTACTAGGAAATTTTAAAGCAGTTATAAGAATAGGGATTTGAAGTACTATGGTGATATAGATCAGAGAAGGAAGAAGAAAATGTAGAACAAAATTCAAAATCATAAAAATTTCTAGATTTACTAGTCTGATATAGAGACTGTTGGAATTTTTAAGATTGCTGCCTCTTTATACTTTTCAAGCCTAGAATGGAACCCACTCCCAGGATCCATTTTCATTAAAATAGTATACAAGTCTTTAAGTGAATTCAAGTTGTCAAGGATTTCATTTTACCAGGATTAGATCTGCAGTCAACTGCTACCCATGATAGCAACAGGCAAGAAATCAAACAATGTAATGTATTGTGGGAATCAGTTTCTAAGAACTTCTTTAAAGTGCTTAAGAGTAAATTTGCCATTTTAAAGACCCAAGCTCAGGCATTTTTAGTTACTACATGTGCATGTCCAAAACGGCATGTGCAATATGAGCTCTGGTGGTGTAGTTCATAGAGAGCTGCACTACTAATCAATGGGTGGCTGGTTCGAATCTGCTAGTAGCTTCATGAGAGAAAGATGTTCATACTTGCACAGCAGATTTGTTTGCTCTCTTAGCATGTAATTTACAGGCTGCTGAAAACCCACCAGAGAGTCAGTTGGTTCTGACTTGATGCCAATGAGTTTGGGAGCTCTTTGTTGCCTAATGAATACTATTTGAATTTACCAGCTGATCTGTGGGGGGAAAATAATGGGTAATTTCCTCCCATGTGAGTTCTAGCCTCTGGAAACTCTCTGGAGGGTCAGCTGTAAGTCAGTTCCAACTTACCAGAACAAGTGAATCTTCAAATCTATGTGTAAAAAGGAAACATTCATTATGGTCACAAGTCCACCACATGGAGATCCTCCATTGAGTCTCTGAGGCTCTTAGTCTTTATGGAAGGAGACTGCTCTTTTTTCTCCCCTGGAGTGGGAGGCATTTGCTACCAAGGTCCCTGCAAACATATGTACAGCAACTCTTTAAAGTGTATTATGTTGGAAAGCAAAGGTGTATCCAAAGACCTAAAGGATCAGGTGAACTTCTACTTCTGGGTGATGCCCAGTCACCACTGTTAACACTCTAAAAGGATCACAGTTGGAGACCCTCAAGAGATAGGGGAAATATGGAGCAAAACTAAAAAACAAAAAACGCCAGCTCACTGATTCCATAGAAACTGATGGAACCCCCAAGACTGTGGTCCTAAGTTGTCCTGAAAACTTGGGACACAGCTCATCCCCATGGGTCCTCTTTAGCCACACAACAGGTCTACAAGGTGAGCAGCAACACCACTCATGCCTTGGAATAACCAGCTGTACAAGACCAAAAATAGCAACACCTGTCCAAAGATTAAAAACAGAAGGCAGGAAGGATTGGAAAGGGCTTAATAGAGACAAGAGTATCAACAGGAAAGTAGAATGAGTGCTCTTACACTGTGGGTATTGAAATTAATGTTATAAATGAAAATGTGTGAATGGTTGAGCAGAAAATTAATTTGTAAACATTAACTCAAATGACAATAAAAATAAAATAAAGGTATGTGTTAATTCCATCTAAAACAAAAAGTAACATGGTGACCTTGTGATGTTTGCAAAGCTGATAAATTTCATGGTTCAAAGGCATTAACTCTTTTTTTCCATTTCCTCCTTCTGCAGGAAGTCTGACAGCTTTGGTGTATCAACATTCAATCACCCCTTTGGCCTTGCCTTGCAAGTTGCTCATTCCAAACAGAGGTGAGAATGTCAGCACCTTACCACTGCATTTACCTCTTCTTGTATTAGGTCATTCATGGGTGGAAAAAAAAACAAAACACACCCCAAAACAAACCAAACACCTCAACACGTTCAAACTCATTGCCATCATGTTGGAATCCACACATGGCCGACCCTTCAGCAGGTTTTCAGAGGCAGTAAACTTTATAGGGGAAAAATTTCCTATGTTTCTCCCACAGAGCAGCTGGTGAATTTGAACCACCTGCCTTTCAGTTGGCAGTGCAGCTTTCTACCTACTAGGCCACCAGTGTTTCCAAAGACGCTCCAAATGATCCAATGATAAAAAAGTCAAGGGGAGCTCTGGTGACCTAGTGGCAAGGAGCTGCAACTACAATCCCAGAGGCGAATGGTTCAAATCCACCAGATGCTCTGCCGGGGAAGGAGGGTCAATCTCCTCCTGTACCAGTCAGATCTGATTTGACGGTACACGCACCCAAAAATAATAAAACAAAACAAAAAAAATTAAAAAAAAAGTCTAACCAGAATCTTTTGTTCCACATGCTCTGAGGGAAGCCCAAGAAAAGACATAATGTTTACCCAAATGAAGGCACTCCTGCTGCCTCAGGCATCTCCTATGTCCTCTACATGTGTTTCTGCAAGAGAGTCCATAACTAAAAATGTATTTGTTCCCAGGAGAACAAGCTTATATATACTTTGATGTTTATTTTATATAATATCAGTATTTTTTTAACTTAGGCAATGAGAAGCTATTAACTTTACTGTTGTTTGTTTGAAATAATATTTTTTTTTCTATAATTATATTTTATTA